GTGACCCCAAATCCCTTTCCTGTGGGCTGGGAGCAGCGGGAGGGATGGTGACTGGGAAGCCCCTTCCTCTGGACCAGGAGCAGTGGGACGGTGGCTCAGAAGCCCCTTCCTCTGGGCTGGGAGCAGCATGAGTGATGGTGACTGGGAAGCCCCTTCCTCTGGACCAGGAGCAGTGGGACGGTGGCTCAGAAGCCCCTACCCCTGGGCCGGGAGCAGCGGGACTCAGTAACTTGGTCTGGTGATCTGGTGTCCTCTGCGTCTTTGTAGTGTGGAACCAGGTGGCTGCCTGTCTGCATCGGGGTGATTTGGCGTTTTCCGCGCGACTCAGGACCTCGGTAGGGCGTGCACAGACCTTCCTGTGTGCAGCGGACTGATTCGGCGTATTCCGCGAGACCGGGGACCTTGGTAGGGCGTGGGCAAACCTGCCTGTCTGCAGAGGGCTGATTCGTCCTGTTCTGTGAGACTCAGGACCTCGGTAGGGCGTGCACAGACCTGCCTGTCTGCAGCGGGGTCGGTATACACTTTTTGAAATGGCTAATACAAAGTTTATCATTTTTACTCTTCTCCTCATGCAAAATTTGGGTGAGAAAAAATTAATACCTTCAAATTTGGTAAGCAAAGGCACATAGATGCTTATTGCTATTTCTAGGAAATATAGTTTCTTTCCCTTACCTGTTTTTAGTGAACATCGTTTGGGGATTTCTTTCCTAAAGGAGCAGGCTTTCTTTTTTGTATTAAGCCCAGAGCGTAGCTTCATATAGTACTCATGGCAAATTTCTTCAGCTTTCTTTTGGGATTCTAAAGAGTTGAAAAAATTGGGATACTGTTTCATTCTAAACTTTATCATCTTCCAAACTGTAAGTGTAGCAGACCAAGAAAGTAAGTAGATTCAGTGTCTTGAAACAGTCATGTTTCAAACTTCAGAGCTTTTTAGCTCTTATAATAATAATGTAGAGCATATACTTTGTATATGTAGTACCTCCAACAGGGACTAGGCTAGCACTTCTTAATAAACCATTAATTTTATAATTAAACCTGAAATTTTACAGGGTGAAATAACGACCTCATTTTAGTTCAGCTTGGATTTAATGGACTAATGAGTTCAGGTTATATTTTGCTGCCAAATGACTTATGAAGACCTTTTGGTCTTTGGAAAGAATTTTGATTGGCAGAATTTCATATGAAGGAATATGAGCCTATACCAAATATATACCAATCTTTGCCTAACTGAGGGGAAGTGTTTATGGCCATATGAAGTTTGAGGCTTTTTTACTTATCTAGAATATACTTTTTAATAATTTTGGAGAGATGGCTGTATTCTATAAAGGTTACTGATACTAAAAGAACAGCCATTTACAGTGGACCACACAATGTGCTAACCATTAATTTAATCCTTCACAATAATCTTACAAGGTAGATAGTATTATCCCAGTTTTGCAGGTGATAATATGAGGCTCTTAGGAGGCAGGACACTTGCCCAAGGTTACATGGCTGATGAGAAGTTGTGACTGAGCTAGGTCTAATAACAAAGCTATTCTTTCAAAGAAAATGCTACACTGCAATTTGAGGGACTAAGAAAATGCAAATTAAAATTAAATCAGTTGAAGTAGAAAAGTTAATTATTCAATAATTCTTAGTTCATTTATTCAAAGAAAAATTTGTCTCAAACATAAACTTATTATAAATGAAATGATAGTTGTAATATGTCATTATGATCTCAATTTTCAACATTATAGTAAATGAATTATCAAGCAATTTATACAACATTGTCAAATTTCGATTATTCACAGTAATGAAAAAAAAAAAAGTGATTCTTGTCTAGGGAGCCATTCTGTGATTTTTTTCTCTAGGAGATGTGCCTTCCAAATATAATGCTTTTTAAAGTCAAGTGGAATAAACTTTTATTATCTACTAATTTGCTCTATCCCTATGAGGCCTGCAGTTTAGATCAGCAGCTGTTTTTCATATCTGTCCTGGAACTCCCTAACATTGTTTCACAATTCAGAAATATCAACTACAACATCTCATATTTATAAAGTACTCTTACAGTTATAAAGATAATTTACAAAGCTAACCAGTGCTAGAGCCAGCATCATATTTGATCTCCTGATAACTAATTTAGCACAATACTTTTTAAATTGGCTCACATTGTCCCTTTAGAGGTAAAAGGCCTAAGACCATACTGAAAGCATCCTCATTCCTTACATGCTTATCTTTATGTTGTGGTCAACATTACATGAGAGACAAGAGAGTCATGTCTAATATCAAATGTGGAGTCTAGGGAGCATAATATGAGTCTCGGGGAATTTGAAGTGAGGGTCATGATATTGAGGGAGTATTCAAGAGTTAAAGTAAGAAACCTAGAGATTAAGAAGAGAGTTAAAGATATATATGTAGGTGCTAGCATCTTGTGGGATAACTGCTCAATATACATATAATTCACAGGGGTGTGTGTAATTATATTTGAAATATTGACAGACATGGTAACACCTTCCTGTAATACCAGTTACTCAGGAGACTGAAGCGGGAGAATCATGTGTTGGTTAATCTTGGTTGGCAACCTGATTGGCTTCATGGCACCTAGCATTAGAAAAGCATACTTCTGAGTGTGCCTGGGTGAGTCATTAGAACATGATCTTGGGCCCCATTTCTGGTCCCCAGCCCCTTCCTCTTGGGCTTTTTCCCTGCCCTCTGCTTCTCATATGCCATGAGTTGAGCCCCTTTCCTTCCCCAAACCCTTCCACCATGTTTCTACCTCAGAGCCAGCAGAACATGTATTGAAACCACTGAAACTGTCAGCAAACATAAACTGCTTCTCCGTCAAGTTCTCTTTCTGCTTTATACCCTTCAGCTATCTGTGGCATTTGACTCTGGGAATCACATCTTTCTTTGAACCCCTCTCTTATTGCCATGTGACCCGTATCCTTTTTTCTCTCTGATCAGTCTATCTGTCTGTTAGTTCTTCCTCCTATCTGGTCCTAAAATATCAGGGCTTTCTTTTTTACTTTCTCCTCTTTAAACTTTCTTTCTGGGCAATCTTGCTTGCTGCAATGATTTCAGTCATCTGTTTAGAGGCTGATGACTCCCAAAGTTGAACTCTATCTTTGGTCTTTCTCCTCATCTATCTGTTTCTCCTTCTTTACATAGTACTTTGATTTAGCAACCGTAAAATATCTCTGTATCTATGTATTTCCTCCTGAAAGAATTCTGGCCATCTCTACCTGAAAGATCTGTAGCTACTCCAAACTAAAATATGCCAATCATCGTCGTCATCATCATCATCATCATCATCAAAATTTCCTTATCTTTACCCCCAGTATATTTCCCCTGAATTCTCTGTCTTGCAGAACAGTACAGCTATCTACCATTATCTCCCCAATTATTAAATCAGAAAGCTGAGGATCATCCATTTTTCTCTTTCTGTCCTTAAGTGTATTCAGTGTTTCGTTAAGTCTTACTGATTTCACCTTCCAAATTTATCTAAACTGCAGCCTTTCCTCTCCATTCTGTTATCTTGGGTCAGACCTTCATCATTAGTCCTCTACATGAATACTAATTAGTCCCTAATTAGTTTCTATTCTACTCTTGCCCCTTACTCTATCTTTACACAACCACTGTGATCTCTCTAAAAATGTCATATCATTCCCCAGTTAAACATTTTTTAGGGATTCTCTACTATCCACAGGATAAAGTTGAAATTCCTTGAATAATGAAGATCTTACATGGATGGACTCGACAGGTTGAGCTCTACCTATTTTTAGCCAGCTGCTGTCATGCAGGGACATGGGTCCAGTGTTTATATTTTTACATTTACTTTATTAGTACATGTATGTAGTACATAATGTTTACAGTCCTTGTCGGGAGTTGGTACATGTGCATAATGGAGCATGTATATGTACATCTTAATTCCTTTTTTCATCCCTCCCATCTCTTGATCCCTTTCTTTTGTTTTTTGGAGAGAAACTACATATTTCAATTCTTTTGAAAAATCTCCTAAGCTTTAAATGTTGATTCAGTTCAAAAAATCAATAATACTATTGAAGTCAAACAAAATACTTCTGCTGGATGAGTCTGTCCAGGGCTTCCATATTTGACCTCTGGTTGGATTCATGAATGAAGGAGACTGTGTTGTTAGTGAAGAGAAAATGTTGATGAACATGGGTGAGAAGAAGCAGGAGAGGAGAAAAGCCTGACCCTGAGGAATAGCTTTCTGGAAACTGGAAGGTGTGAAGTTTGGAAAAAGCCTTTCCTCAAGGTCATGAAGTTCTGTACTTTGTTGGGACCAACAGTGAACTGTCCAGGTAACCAGAACTAAGATGGGACTTCCTGTCATATATGGATAACTGCAGTGGTTAGATGCTGAGTTTTGTGACTTTGTGACCTGTGGATTGTCACATCCTGGTAACCTAAGTCAGGAGAAGGAGTTCAATAATGGTTTTTGGCCCTTCTGCTTGGGGCCTCAGAGCAGAAGTTTATTTAGAAAAATAAGATATTTCTTATATCTTGAGTTTTGAAAAGTAGTTCATACGTGTCACAAACATCACGTAGATACCTGTTAAAGTTTAACCAGGATTGTTAAATAATTATAATTTTAGTATTAAGCTAGCCAGTATTATTGGAAAGGAGATCTGCTTAAATCATGATAAAAATACAGGTAATGTGATGTATTTCAAAGCCATATATATTACTTGGTGATTAGCACTGATTTCTACACAGTATAGATAAACAGGGCCACCAGCACCCATAAGGAGAGGTTATATTTCAACTTTGGCATTGACCTCAGAACATCTGGGATGTCTTCATCTTCATTCTAGTAGCTACAAAGAGCCCTTATTTCCTGGGTTAGAAATAAAATGCATTCTTTATTAAGAAGGAATTCAGGGTCATGGGGTCACTTCCACGGAGTCACTGTTTTTGCACAGAGCAATTTGACCGAGCTACAATTACAAAGGTTAATTTAATTGATTTCCTGGTTATTCAGAAACCCTTGTCAAGTTAATGTTTTCCCTGGTTACCAAAGAACAGTGGAGGACAGAAGGGAACCGAAATGATATTGTTTAACACTATTTTCTTTTCTGGCCTTAAAGGGGTTCAGGAAAAGGGGAAGAAACATGAAGGACAAGGATACTCTAATCTCTACCATTATTTCTCATACTCCACTTTTTCTGTGGTCCACCCTGTTCTGTTAACTATCTTTTCTGTTACTTCTCCCATGTGGAGATATTTGTATAAATCTGCATGATTCCTTCTCCAGATAGATAATTTCACAGCCATTTCATCTCAGCTTTATTGACTTTATGTTCATTTTTTCTTATTCTGAGCTCCAAGTTTGTAACTAGATAAACTTGAACGTCATCTAGTTAATTCTTTTCTGTTTGGGCCCTGGATTATTCAAATATCTTCACCTGTAATTCTGTCCTTCATCAGTAGTTGCAAGTCAAAACTCCATGTATAATACACAAAAGGTCTTAACAAATACTTTGTTTAATGACAATGGATCAGTTTATAATTTTGTTAATTAGGGTAAAAGTTGGGGATTACCTGGTGGCAAGAGGTGTGGGGAGAGTAAATAGTCTTTTATATCAAAGGCTATAATTAATTTTACACAGCTCATAGGCTTAAATTATCTGCACTACTTCTATCCCATGATGTATTAAATAAGTACAAATTGGTTATAGCCTGTTCAAAACCAAAGTCTGTCATATTAAGTCTTTATGAGATATCTCTTTTTGTTTCAGTTCTTATATTCCTAGTAGCTTTTGGTATGGTAGCATTTATGATTATTGGAATAATAAAGATTTCATACCAGATTTAAAAATAGTGTATAAAAATGTAGGAATACTTAAGTCCTTACTTCTTTGTTTGCATGATTTTATCAGGGCTTTGTCACCTCTCCTGTTCAGCTTTGCTGAAGAAGTTTTAGAGGTTGAATACTTCATTTTAGGCTTCATTTTTCAGGCCTCTGTTGGATTAAAATGTAATGTTAATTCAACTATCTCAACTAGAAAACAAACAAATAACCATGACTAACTCAACATAAAATTGATAACACAACTACATAGTAAAAATAATTCCTACAGTAAAATTTGGATGTAGTATTCTGGCTATATGTTTATAGTAGAACACAGTCAAAGAAATCTTAAACGTTACTTACTGTGTTTATTGTCAGTAGTAATATTGGTATTGAAATTCTAAAATAGTTTTGTTATATTATAGGACAAAGCAAATAGATAGATATATTGATATTACATAATATTCACTGTAAGGGAAAGGAGTCATAAAGATAAAAATGAAGCCAAGGGAAAAATCCCTATAATGTTGAATTTGAGTCAGCAATAAATAAATGTCCAGCCATAAATGTGTGTCCATATCTTAATTTCTAAGTACTTTTTCCACTAGAAGGAACCATGACTCCAGATCTGGGGCTAGGAAAATACCAGTGAACATGGAACATTTTGTTTTGCCAGAAGCAGTGAATCTCTCAAAAACTAGTAAGGTTGTATTGAAAGCATACATGAACTAACTTAAAGAGTCTCTCCCTGGCCAAATTTGGCACAATTTGAGTATGAAAACAATAATAATGATAATAATAATAATAATAATGGTAATTAACTATAAGCATTTAATGAAAAAGAAACGTACAAGTCCATAGTTTTTCTCAAGAATGAATGAATATAAAGTGATATATTCATTACAGAAGAAATTATAGAATTAGGAAAACCACCATTTGTAGTCCCCAGCTTAATTCAGTCAAGGATTTCACAATGGATGTTCTACCTTGGTAATCAATCTAGGTCACAGTGTCACATTGAAAGAATATGGAATTCTCTCATAAATCACAGAAAACTCCATATTCTTTCAGTATAGTACTGCAAGTTGGCTTTGTAATCATGGTATGACACTATTGCTGTGATTGTATTTTGTTTTTTGGTTTTTTGTACCAGGGATCAAACTTGGGACCTTGCACTTACGAGGCAGGTGGCAGAACCACTGACCTAAATCCCCGGCCTGTGATTGTAAAAGAAGCAGAATTTCTCCTCCAGTTTTATACTCTTTCTGACCTTGCCTGGAATTCCACCAAATATTTTATTGCTGGTTTTTGTTTTTAAAGATTGATCTCTTAACTGGATAAAGAAGATGTGTTTTTTTTTTTATAAAACGGAGTACTACTCAGCCATAAAGAATGAGAAACTAGAGTCATTTATATCTAAATGGATGCATATTGAGGCCATACTCTTAAGTGAAATAAATAGGACACACATATGTAAATACCAAATAGTTTCTCTAGTGTGAGAAACTGAAAGTGTAAATAAGGATGAAAATGATTAAAATGAATAATTGATAATTTGAAATAGGAAAAGGTCCAAAGGGGTAGGGGTGGCAGGAAGGGAAAGGGAAAGGGAAGAAGAGAAAGGAAAAATTATGAGAAAGAAAAAAAAATGGAAACAAAGTCTGTGTAAATAGGGAAGGGTGGTGGGGGTGAAGGGTGCATAGGTAATGGGGAAAAAATAAGAACTAAGATACATCATGCTCAGGTACAAGCAACCAATGATAAATGTAAATGTATTGTATACCTAAAATGTACCAATTAATATATGTATAAAAAAAGATTGACCTCTTATTTTGCTACATTAAAAGAAAACCCAAATTACCCAATGAATTTTTACAATTTAAACCTGCTTTAAACTTCATATGAATCAGCCCTTCTAGCAGAATAAGAGAGGAATTTCTAGGTTCGAGGATTGAGTTTCTGGGTTCAAGGATTCATTAGAAAATAAACTTCATGCATGTACCTTTATATTTCTCCCTGATAACTCTGTAGAGGTTGAAATTCCAAATTATCTTCTCTGGCTGGAGCTAGAATCTTATATGCAAGTAGGCTATAGCTAGTTCCAGTGAAGAAACTCCCATAAAGGTAGGCCAGCTGAAGACCTCTATTCTGTCCCTAAGTCTTATCTTGGAGTCAGTATTATCCTTTCGCAGCTCATGGACTTCACACAAACCCCTACTTTCCCACTTTTACTTATCATAAGTGCTTAGAAGCATAGAACTTTACACATCATTTTACAGAGCCCCTCATTCTACCTTTGGATAGACTGAGACTGAACGATTAAGTGCTTTACCTAGGCTCACAAAGACCTCTGGGACCAGAATTTAGTCTCCTGACTTTCATCTTGATACCAGCCCTTCCCCGTTCTCTCTCCCTCCATCTCCAGCCTGCCTCCCTCCTACCCCCAGTAGAGAAAGAATAGAAAGTAATTGAAAGTGGGACTTTAATGATCTGAGTTGTCAACAGCTTGAAATGCTCAGCCTGTCTTAATCAAAAACAGTTATCCAACTTTGAAATGATACATTTCCAAGTACAGTAGTATGAAGCTGCTGTTTTCTGAAGGAGCTACATCTGTATAAAGATCCTGTGACTGTTTATCCTTAACTGAGAAGAGCATCCTAGTTGTGAAGTGATGGAAAGTTCCAGGTTGAGAGATAAATTTTCTTGGGTTATTTTAGCCCTTACAGATACAATAGCCATTTACCTTTTTTTTGGTACCGGGGATCAAACTCAGGACCTTGTGCTTTTGAGGCAGGCAGTGGAACCACTGAGCTAAATCCCCAGCCCAATACCCATTTACTTTTAACCTTTGTATTTGACCTGTAGTCTCAGGACTACTAGGTGAACTTCTTGGAATGTATTAAACTTAGAAAAGTCCCCAGCCTCCACCAACCTTCAAGCTAAGAATGCTCTAACATAAATTATAGCTACTGGAAAGACTTCCTAGCTTTGCTGTAGACTGCCTGCCTACCTAGTACCCACACTAATGATTTTGTTGAATGTATAGATAAGCTTATGACTTTCTTTGTTCTTTTTACTATAAAAATTGATATAAATTCTTTTGCTTTGGAACATGTTATTTTGAGTAACTTAAATCCATTTTCCTGGGCCATGGTCATTCATATTGGCTCAGAATAAATAATTTTCTTATATTCTTTAAAGTAGAGTTGTATTTTATATCAGAAGTAGTAAATTTTTAACCGTAATACATGGAGCAATGGGTTAGGTAACCCTAATGTAGTTAAATTGCATAGAAAATAGTTTAAATAGTACTCTGCACAGAGCAGATATTGATATAACACTTTACTAACACAAAAACTGCACTGCTATGATTTTTGCTTGTTTCTCTTTTATCCAAAACTACTACATATATCCTAGTTTTCTTAGTCATTAGGAAAAGTTGCATTTCCAAAGAAATCTATCTTCCAATTTATATCTTGGCTCTTGGAAAGTCAGCTTAATTAGCATAGTAAAGGTGTGGTAGTAAGGGTGTTAGGGACTCATGACTACCTTTGCTTACCTAATTGTTTTCAGTAATTATTTGATTTCATAGCTTTTGTTTCCCCATTATCACGCCAAAGGACTAGCTTGATAGAATATAAGAACTCTGCTTTCAACCAACATTAGCTTGCAGAGTTCAACATGATAGGAAACTGAAAAATATCACATTCATGATGGAATCATTGACATGGAGAAAGTCAACATCTTTTTAAAACTTGTGACTATTAAAATTATAATCTGGAAATATTTTCAAGTCCTATTCAAAAAACAAAGCATTTTCTTCATGTCTTCAAGTTTTTTACCTTATTATATACAATCACATTTTTTGCCATTTTTTTCAGACTAAAATTTACTTTTTACTTACTTTACTTTTTTAAAATATCAGAATTATTTGAGTAGATGGCAGTATAAACACCACTGATTCCTTTTTGCTGTAATTCCCAATAACAGACACACAATATACTTGCACATTGGTTATTGTGGAGGATGTGAGAAGTTCTTGGGCCCTTGGACAGCCTTGGAAAGACAGATTGTCCTGATGTCTGTGGCAGGCCCAGATAGAGAAGTTAAAGATAACTTCAGAAGGCTGTTTGTCATTCCCACAGTGTTCATTCCACTGTGGTCCCTTGAGACTCTCAAATATTTGCTTGGTATAAGAGTAGCTAATCTTTTAGAAGCTTTAAGTAGCCAAGATGATTTAGATAAGATGCACTAAGATTAAAGGAGCATAGATGGTTCTTTAGATGCTTTATGTACTCACAGATATAACTGGTGGTTAGTTGGCTAGCACTGTAAATTGTTAATGATTGATGTATCCTACAGAAAAATGTATAAAAGAAGAATATTACCAATAAACCTGGCCTTAACTCCTAATGGAGCTCTGGTCCCCCGTGCTCCTCATTTTATAAGTTTGTCGGATACTGTCTTCAGGTTCCAGTCTCCCACCGAGGAGACCCCAACAGGTTATGATACTCACTAGATTGTAAATGTGGAGATCTGATCTCAGATGATGTGATTCCCTGTAGTCAGCATTTGGCAGTGATTAATGAAATTACATTCCAGTTCTACTTATATAAACAGACAGGGATTAAGCAATAATTGAGTGAGAGCATTTGAAGAATGAAGCAGTGTGAGTAGAGCTTGTTAAATAAATTAGAATGTGTGGGAGCATACACATCCTTTTCGATAGCCAAATCCTAAACTGAGCTTTCAGATTATTTTAATTGTAGCACCTTCAAAGAGTTACATTTAACTTTTTAAAAAATTTTGTACCAGGGATCAAACTCAGTACCTTGTGCTTGCAAGGCAGGTGCAGTGCCATGGAGCTAAATCCTTGGCTACATTTAACTATTAGTTTTTGTAAAACCTCTGAGACATGAACTATAGGTAGTGTGTTTTTTTTGTTTTGTGTTTTTTACTGGAAATGGACTATATAAAGGTACAGATTATTTAATTTTCTTTCCCTTTTCTATTAAAAGTTGAGAACCTTTTTTTTTTAATTTTCTTAGTACAAGTTTATAGTACATAATGATTACATTCACTATAGGGAGGTGGTACATGTACATATACATTTAAATTCCCTTCTTTCCCCCTTCCTCCACCCTCTTTTTATTTTTTTAGCATCAGATTCA